TTTTCTGAATCAACTAACAACAGTAAACAATAACTAACAAAGTTACTGCAGAGAAAAAGGTGCTTCCTTAAAAATATACATAGGTAGGTTATGTGAAAAGGTTATTTGCGAAATAGGTTTGGCGTTGTATGTTTTCTATGACATGACAAATTGCTTGAATTSATCAATGTATTGCAAGTATTGGTATTTGGTTAGAAAAGCTTTCGCGAAGTTCGCATGGTTTTAAAAAAAACCTTATATTATTTATTTGCTATTACAGATGATGCCTGATTAGCTGACGATTTAGACGAGAATATAGGTGCACATTTTTCAGTCAAAAATTTTATTGACTAAAAGTTAGTTAGCACAATCTTTTCCAATACCCTTATGATCTCTTTCATAGTAGTTTCAGTAAATTTGTTTGTTTTACCGATAATATATTCCGTATTTCGAATATGTGATTGATTTTACCAAACTGCAAAACCTAAAAAATTGTTTGAAAAAACAAAGTTGTCAATGTGCAGTCGATGCAACTTCCCCAATGGTCTTATGTAAGGCCATAACAGCTCAATAGAAAAAAAAAATATTTTTTTTAAACTGAAAGTAACGATAAAGAAAATAAAAAAGCGGAAACGTTTTATTTTCTAAGGCCTTTATCACCTTTTTTGAAGTATCTTCCAAATTTTGATTTTTTGAGGCCACTATTACCATTTTCTCAACCATATGTTGAGACATTCCAGGTTTCAAATAAAMTTGCTTTCTTGAAACCCATACAATTAAAACAAATTATCTTAAAGATCGAAATAATCTATTAACATTCGATAACCTTGCCTCAGTTATACTACGTAAGGTCAGATAGACTCAATGGAACAGTAAAATACATATTGTGAATGTAACGGCAAGGAAAATTGCGTAGAATTTATTCGCTAAGGCGTTTCAGCCTGCATGTAGGCAACAGCAAAGGTTAAAATGACGTATCAATGAAGTTTTAGCTATCTATTTCATACTTAATACTTATTATGCAATAAATTACTAGTTTGGCTTAGAAACATCATTGTTGTTATAATTATATGTAAGTATATTAATATTAAGGGCATTGTGAAAAATTCTTTTGCAGCCCAAATGTAGGCAACAACCAAAAATTAAT